AAGAAGGAACCTCAGTTGAAGAATTGTCTCCACCAGATTGGTGTGTCTATACGGCATTTTCTTGATTGCTAGTTGGTGGAGGAGGGCCAAAACCACTATAGTAGTGCCACTTCCAGACATGTGGTGGTCTTGGATCGTACAAGAAAGGTAAATGAATATGAGCGTGGAAGCAAGCCAGTAAGCAGACCTCTGCTTCAGTCTCTCCTCTAGAATCCGTCCTTGGCTTCCCTTGATTATGTAAGAAGATATAAACACTTCCCTCCCCGACTCGCTTTTGGTATTTCATACAGCAACAGAAGGCAAACTAGCACAGAAGGTGTTCATGTCAGTCCTCGTATTTGAAGAATACCATGGCCTGCTGGCATTGAAGGGACCAGACCTTCACCCAGCTCCCCGCTTTAGCAGCCATGACAGGCTTCAGAAAAGACATGTAGGCCTCTGACTCAGCACATGTCACAAAAGAACTACCAGCACCCTTCTCCCCCGCCCCCCTTAGACTCTAGGATTCTTAGTTCCTGGAGATTGTATTTTATGCAAAAGGCATGGGGCCAAAAATGAACACAAAGAACCTCCAGACCTCTCCAGTCTCCTGGAACCTAGGGCCAAACTGAACACAAAGGAATTCCAGACCCTCCTCCTGGATACTTAGTTCCTGGAAACTGTGTTTGGCCACAAAAAAAAAAAAAAAAAAAAAAAATTTACCAGAGGAAATTTCCAGCCTATTGACCTTGTCAGACCTGCCCCTAGTCACTAGGAGGTCAGAAACCCTCCATGTAGCAAGGAACCAGTCAGAAGTTAGCTGGCGGGCTCTGGATGTGCTTTACGGGTTCTGAATTTGCTTTACAGTGGTGTAACAGTGATGAACAGAGCAGAGAAACTGCCCTGAGAGGACCTATAGGCCATAACAACCAGTTGACCAATAACACTTCCAGGCCTGGAAGTGCACCAATCCTGAGACGGTTGCTGACCCCTAGACACTCCCCTTTCACATCCCAATAAATTCCCTGTTTCTCTGGGTCCTTCTCACCCCACCTGCTGTATTGGACAGGTGAGGGACACGTTAACTCATTAAATAATAAAAGACTCTTTGTGGTTGCTGACCCCTAGACACTCCCCTTGCACATCCCAATAAATTCTCTGTTTCTCTGGGTCCTTCTCACCCCACCTGCTGTGTTGGACAGGTGAGGGACACGTTAACTCATTAAATAATAAAAGACTCTTTGCTTTTGCATTGGAATGGGTCCCTTGGTGATTTGGGGGTTCAGAATTTGGGCACAACAGCATTTTCCCTGCATGAGTGAGTGATTGGGTAAAGGACTATAATTATTACTTACTATTGTATTGTTTTGCAACTCAACTAAAGCAGTGTTCTAAAAGTTGAGTGAAGGTTGCACTCTGGTCAGTCCAGAGTTCCATGACTATTAGTCTGCACGCAGGTGCAAAGGACCCCTTTAAAAGACAGACGACCCCCCCCCACTTAGCATCTCTTTCTGCTATCTCTTTCCCTCTCTCTTTCCCACTGTTCCCCTGGGCAGACAGGACTCTTCCTGTCTCCTTTTTCTCTTCTGTCCTCTCTTTGTTTCTGTGTCTCTTTACCTCTTTTCTCTCCCCTCCTTCCCTTTCTAATAAAACTTCTCATTTAAGCTCTGTCTGTCTGGCATGTTTGTCCCTCCACCTCAGTCAACCTCACCTGCCATGGAATCCGCCAAGGTTCACCTTGAGCTTTATTCATAACTACTAACATAGTTTAAAGCCAATTTTAAAGCAAGCTTTAATTAAATACTGGATGAAAAGTTTATACACCCCAACAAGCCTCTCCACTGATGCAGCAATCCATATCAGAGCAAATTAAACCAAATTAGAAAAAGCCCATGTTTAATGGATACAATGCTTCCAGATGGCCTTCCAGCCCCACAGAGAGGAGACAGGAAAGAGAGACCAGAAAAACCACAAGTCTGTTTTCTGGGAGGCAGTTTAAATACCCTGTGGGAGTGGTCTTGAGCATCTCTGGAGGAAGGGTCATCATTTGGCACGCTTTCTGAGATACAGCAAGGTTTGGAGGAAGATGGGGGAGGGGGCTTGGGTGGAACCTCCACCATAATATTCCAGACTCTTTGGGTATATGGATGCCAGGAGCTGGGGCAAAGCTTCCACCATAACACTGGCCAGGTGAGTGTGCTCTGGCCAGGCCCATGTCCAGGTTCCTGGGAAATGGTGCAGAATCAAGTATGTCAAGGGTCTAAAAAGGAAAACCTATAATTCATTGCATTTCCCATCAGATCCAGTCAGGGGCAAGCATATATCCTGACTATTTCCTGCCTGTGAACCTCCTGCTCACATATGATCAAGCACATCCAGTACAGATGGGTCAAACAAACTTGTTTAGGGGAGTGAAAAACATGTAGCTTGCTATCTCCCATAAACAACAGCCTCCAGCATTTCAGGAACTATCTGTCCTTGGGCAAGGGGCTTGCATATCAGAGGCATTTTTGTTTCATGGATCTCTAAGGCACAGTAATTAAAACTTAAAATGTAACTTTGGCTCTCACAAGAGCAGCAAGAATCATGGGTATAACTTTCAGAGGTTGTGATGGCTAAACTGTCAACATGGCTGGATTTTTCTTTTACATTTACTTGTTTATTCATATGTAAAAGTGTGTGTACAGGCATGCATGCCTGTCATATGGATGCCTGTCATATGCATGTCTCCATACATATGGAGGCCAGAGGAAAACTTGTTTGAGACAGTTCTCTCCTTACACCATGTGGGTCCTTGAGACCAAACTCAGGTCTTCAGCCTTGGCATCGAGCACCTTTACCCACTAAGCTGTCTCACTGACCACCTAACTATATTTAGAATCATCTTAGAAACTTACTTCTCAGTGTCTATGTAGACATTTCTAGAACGATTTAACCAAAAAGGGGAGGCCCACCCTGAATGTGGGCAGCACCATGCCATGGTCCATGGTTTCAGTAAAAGGAAAACATGATCATTCATGTTGTTCTCGCTCACTAGCGTTCATCTCTGCTTCCCTGTGGGCACATAGCCAACCACCTCATGTTCCTGCTACCTCATCTTGCCCTCCCTCATCGACTTCCCCTCAAGTGTGATCCAAAAAAATAAACACATCCTCCTTTGCCTTGTTTTTGCCAGGCATGTTGTCACAGTGATGAGAAAATAACTAATGCAGAGTCCCACCCTCAGTGACCCACATCTGCCAGGTAGGCCTCACCTCCTATAGGTTTCACGGCCTCCAAAGTAGGGCCACCAGCTGGGGAACAAGCATTCAGAACATGACCCTAGGGAGGGGCACTGTTAGTGATTCCCCTTTGAACCAAGCATCCACCACCTTAGGGAGGTCAGCTCTACTCTCCACAAAGGATTAGCTGAGTTGGTCTTATTGACTGTCTACATCCCCTTGTGGAATGTGGAAAGGGCCACAAAACGCTCACTTGAGTATCCAGACACTCTTTACCGTAGACTGTATGCTTCTCTGCCTTAGTTGCGTAAGACTTGTGGAGAGTCAAAGGATGCAATGGGGGAGGACCACTATGGGAGAAGGGCTTTCTGGGAAAGCCCTCATCCCTACTTGGTAAGACTTTGTCTCCCGGGGGGAAGGAGCACGTACCTTCTAAAGTAACCTCTCACCTGTGTTCTATGAGGAAACCAAATGAACTTACAGGTTCCCCAGAATGAACTTGGATAGAATTGTGCCTCGGTTTGTTGTTGGGACCTTATTTTTAGGAGAAGGGTAGACGTTGCTAGCATCTTCCCCCTTGAAAGGGATTTTAGCAACAAAGAATATTTTAGAATCAAACCGTAACATCAGTGTACACGCTGAAGTTAAAAATAAAAAAGTAAACAGAAAATGAACTCACTGAGGAAGTATGTAGGGCTGGAAGGAGTAAAAGGGAACAGAGGGAGCCTCACTGAACCTGAGCTACAAGTCCAGCCCAGCTGCAAACTGCGGGGGAAGACTCTTCAAAGCGCATGTCTGTTTGACATCAGTGTTGTGGCTTAAATCTGAAATGTCTCCCACAGGCTCATGTGTTTGAACACTCGGTCCCCAGCCGGTAGTGCTGTTTGGGGAGGTGATAAGATCTTTGATACACGGGGCTCAGCTGCTGAATATAAGCCTCTTGGGCCCTGCATCGTACCTAAGATCTCTATTTCCTGATGTACTGAGATGTGAACAAGCTGTGCTGCAAGCTTCTACCTCCATGACCAAGCTGCTTCAGCCCCCATACTTTGCCTGCCATGATGGACTGTATTTGCCTGAGGCAAGAGCCGATGTAACCTTCTCCCATAGCTGCTTCTATCAGAGATTTGATCACGGTGATATAAAAGTAACTAATACAGACAGCCAGGCTGGTTGGCAGCAATGACAGAAAGGAAGGGGGCCAGAGAGCCAGGAGAAGCTGCACTGTGATGCCTAACAGGGAGCAGACCCAAGGGTTGCAAATGGTCATAGAGCCCCAAACTGGCTGAGTTCGGGAGGCATAGCCAAGTGCACCAGGAAGGGGGAGGAAGGGCTCAGGCTAGTGGGTGCACACCACAGAAAAACAGGAAGGACTCCAACTCACTCAGCCCACTGCTCCTTACAATGAGTTTTCCAGTGGAATATAGCTGAAGCCACTTTTGGTATGGGCTCCAGACTGGAGGTAGGAGTGGCTCCAGCCACTAGGTGCTACAGAGAGAGAGACAACAGGTATACATGCCACAGACAGCATCCTGGGAAATGTTAGCTTTATACCCCACCCCAAGACAGAGGAGTAAGAGTAATGTGGTTGCTCAGTAGCTGTGGTGGTTTGAATAAGAATGCCCCCCATAGGCTCATAGATTTGAATGCTTAGTCACCAGGAGTGGTACTATTTGAAAGAATTAAGAGGTTTGGCTTTGTTGGAGTAGGTGTGGCCTTGTTGGAGGAAGTGTGTCACTGTGGGTGGGCTTTGGGGTTTCAAAAGCCCAAGCCAGGCCTGGTGGTTCTCTCTGCCTCTTGCCTGTGGATCCAGATGCAGAACTCTCAGTTACCTCTCCAGCACCACGTCTGCCTGCACACTGTCATGCTCCTTACCGTGAGGATAGTGGACTAAACATCTGAACTGTAAGCCCAATTAAATGCTCTCTTTTATAAGAGCTGCCATGGTCACGGTGTCTCTTCATAGCAACAGAATACTGACTAAGACAGTAGCTGTCAGGCTGACTAAAGTGCCACGAAGTCTCTTTTCCCTTGGATCCTTTAGAAGCAAGCTCTCTAGCCTGCTTTGGGGACCTTCTTCTTCATCCTCAGAGAAGGAAAGGATTCTCCCCCTCACCCCATTGCATGACTCAAAGTCCCTCGTTTGAACTGAGACTCGGGTAAGACACCTCCTCACTGCCAGCCCCAACTTTCCCAACAAGAGCAGGAGTCCACCCTCACCCATGCGCCATGTACCCTGAGAGGCCACCCTGCAAGGGTCTATGACATATGCTCTCTGATGGTTTCCCAAGGGTCACACTGGCCACACCCTTGGGGTTTGGCTCCCAGCTCTCTCCAAGTTCCGCCAGCAAAATTATCTTTAATCAATGCTGCTCAGTCTACAGCTTCTCCCAAGGGAATGCCACTAGGCAGCCTGTTTCACAATCATTGGCTTCACATCAGGACCAGAGGAACAGGGTGTAGTGGAAAGAGCACCACAAGAGGCAGGAGCCTTCGTCCAGCTCTCTTGACCCTAACAAAGTCACCTAACAAAGTTTCCCTACTTTGTCCCTTTCAATGGTTTCAGTCTGGTGAAAGTGAATCTGTTGTGTCCATAAGCACTTTCTATGAAGGAGAGCACCCACACCAGCATGGTGCCTCTCAGGATAGACTTCCCTCAACCACATTTATGCATGTGAATTCCTGGCCATAGCTGCTGTCACCAAGAGCAACTGTCCACACCTCAGATAGGGCCAGTTAACACTTTCCCCCAAATAGTTTGGGATACAGAAAGAAAGAAACCAAGAGAGGACTCAGAAGTTAGGGATAATCATGTTCTCACCTGAGCCATCTGGAGAATGGAAACCCCACTGCAAGGAATGGGAGAAAGAAGAAACATGAAAGCCTAGTGGACAAGAGGGACAGAGAGTCTGGGTGCTTTCTGTTCTGCATTTCAAGTTTCCCTGAAACCTGGGACCTTCTGAGTTAAAGCCTTTTTAAAACTCCCCCCTCTCTCTTTCTCTCTCTCTCTCTCTCTCTCTCTCTCTCTCTCTGATACATTAAGTTCAAAGAGAAAAGCAAGATTTTCAAAATGGTGTGGAGGGGGCTGTGTGTGTGTGTGTGTGTGTGTGTGTGTGTGTGTAAGGGACTCTGTGTGTGTGTGTGTGTGTGTGTGTGTGGAGGGGTGGAGGGGTGTGTGTATGTAGGGGTGGAGGGGTGTGTATGTGTGGAGGGGTGTGTGTGTGTGTGTGTGTGTGTGTGTGTGTGTGTGGTGTGTGTGTGGAGGCTGGAGGACAGCCTGGACTGTTGTTCCTCGGGTGCTGCCTATCTTGTTTTTGAGACAGGGTCTCTCATTGGCCTAGAGTTCACCAGTTCAGCCAGACTGACGGGCCAGTAGGTTCCAGTGAGCTTCCTAACCCTTCTCCAGTGTTGGGATGTAAGCATGTACTACCATTTCTGGCTGTGTATGTGGTGGCTGGTGACTGATTCAGGCAGGTCCTCAGGCTTCAGGGCAGTAACTTAACCAACAGAGCCATCACCCCTGCCCCAACCCCCTGAACAGGCTTTGAAAAGTGGGTTTGAGGGCTCTGAACCCTCCCCTCCTGATAATTTCAAGGGAGTGAACTTTAACAAGCCTGTGTCCTGCTGGTCCATCTGGCTTCCTAGTCCTGCACCACACATCTTAGCCCAGGTTCTGGTCCCCATCTGCATCTTGCTTGGTCACCACAACCAGCCATGGCCTTGGTCACAGTAAGTGTTCCATCAACTCATGTCAGGTTGAGACCGAGAAAAATCCAAAGCCATCATTCCTCTGTGAGGTGTGTTCCTCAGAGCTAGCCGGCAGCTCCTCCCTCCCTGGGCAAGGTTGTCCATTGTGGATCCATGACCCCACATAAGGCCAGGACTCAACCCCGATGCAGCCAGCCCACAGCTTCCCAAGTTTTATTTTTATTAACCCAACTGGAAAATTGGACTTCACTCAGGGCTCTGCTGCAAAACAGATGCTAGAGCTGGGCTCTGGTTTCCTAGATAAACACATTGCGATAATATGCATCTACCCGTGAAATGCTCTCTGCGGCAGCGGCACGTGGCAGCTCTCCAGAAGAAAGAAAAACAGTGTCAAAGCTACATTGGAGGCCTCTCACTCCCCTTCCTGGCCAGAGGCTTCACTGCAGGCTAACTCCCTCCTGGATGGCTCCCCTTGTCCTCTCCTGCCTCTGGCCAGGAATTTAACAGCTTCTAGAAAGAACACTAGGCTTTCCTCTCTTCTCTTGTCTTGATCAAGGACCTCCCTTTGCTCTCCCACCATGCCCTCTGTGAACTCCATGCCAGCACATGGAGACTCTATGTACTTCAGTTTTCCAGGTGTGTCTGCCTCCTCCTGAGAAGCAGGAAACCTCCCCGAGATTAGGAACAGAGCCTGGTACATGGTGTCATGCAGAGCCCAGAGATAGCCCTGGCACAGAAAGAGCAGACAGAGTGGCTAATGTTGCTGAATGAGGGAATAAAAGTGACTCACATTAGCTAGCTGCAGCCAGTGAGGGAGGCACGAGATTCAAGAATGTGCCCTGGGTGTCATCCAGACCAAGCTGGGTGTGGGACCAAGGGATCACCACACATCCTGCCCCCTGAAGTACTGCCATCTATGAAAGGAAATAAGGTAGAAAAATGAGGATTTCTTTTCCCCCATGTCACCGCCCCCATCCTTGCGAAGACAGTCTCTGGACAGTCACCAATGAGTGGAAAAAACTGTTAGCATGAAACCCCCAACCATGGAGGGCAATCGATTTGAAGAAAAGAATGATGGAGCTGTAACTCAGTGATCAGGGGCGCTTGCCTAGCATGTGCAAACCTTAGGAAAGGAGGCCAGGAGGAGGTGGGAAAGCAGATGCAGCCCCTGGACCAGAGCAATAAGCTGGGGTGCTTGCCTAGCATGTGCAAACCTTAGGAAAGGAGGCCAGGAGGTGGGAAAGCAGATGCAGCCCCTGGACCAGAGCAATAAGCTGGGGAGGAGGAGGAGAATAACTTACGGTTTCTCTCTAACTGTTCTGAAAGACATTAAGACCTGAGGACATCAGGATATGACACAAACAGTCTTGAAAGAAATTGAGACTCCAAAAAGGCCAAACAACACCAAAGGAAACATGGGGTCATGAGGGAGGTAACAAAAGCAAAGGGAACTCCTAGTCACCCCCTCCAAGGCTACTTGCCTAGGAACTGATGAATGATTGATTGGAAACATTGTGTTAGACGGATTACTCTGTGTACATGAACCTGATGGGAGGTGGTGTACGGGTTGGTAGAAGGGTTACAGACATCCTCCAGTTTGGCACATCTGAGGACATACGAGCACCTACAGGAGCACAGAGAGTAGGGACAGTAATTGAGAAGCGTTCAAGAAACATTTGCCCCTGCCCTGGGCTCAGGTCCTGTCACTGTCTCCATTGCTTATGTTCTGGGTCTCTCTGGACTCAGCTGCCCATGGTGGGAAGTAAAAATTTTGTCATATTGTGCCCAGGGGAGAGGCTTGTGTTGGGAGAGAGAGCATGAGGTTTCAAATAGCTGCCAGGGAAATAACAACCCCACCCGCTACTGTTACCAGAAATGTTTCCCTTTCCACTAATACAACTCGGAACATGGTGTCTGTGTTCTGAGGATGGTCACATCAGAGAGAGGCATGTAACCACTATCCCTCACCCAGCAGCCTTTGACCTAAAATATATGTCATTAGATGGTGGGTCAGAGCCCAGATGTCATTCAGGGAGCTCTTCAGTAAAAGCAAAGACCAGAAAAAAAAAAAAAAAAAAAAAAAAAAAAAAAAAATTTAAAAAAAAAAAAATGTCGTCTGCATATGTTCAGGTTTAGTTGCACCCTGTTTTATATGGAGGGAGAATTATTTTAAAAATGAAGAAAATTTAGACTTTTAGTTTAAACTAAATTTAAAGGACAGAAAATTGACACAAGTATAGCAGCTACAAAGGTCATTTTTAGATATATGACAATGACACAGTTGTAGTGAATTTCACAGTTCTGAGTGACTCGGAGGAATGGCAATATTTCTTTTTGTCCTGACTAAGGGAAATTCCTTGGAAATGATCTGCAGATCCTGGAGAGAGCCCCAGGGTGCCCAGATGCCCAAACTCTGAGGAGTGAAACCCAGGAGCCCCTGGAACCCCCACTCAGCCTCTTGTGTCTCACTTCAAATTGCCCGGATTTATCCTCTCCCCTTCTGACCACAGTCCCATCTGTCTGAGGGGTTTACAGCCACCATGTGTTTGTGAATCTTGACATCCAGATGTGCCTACACTTTCCCTCCACTGTGCCTTCCTTTTCCATCTGTCACTTCCTTTTTTTTTCTTTTTAACACCTCCTCCCCATCCCCACCCTGATCTATCCATGAAATTCACTGTTTATCTAGGACCCATCTGCTCTTATTTGGGAAATAGAGTGTGAGACTAAACCTAAGGAAGGAGACAGAGCCGGGGTTGACAGGAAACCGCAAGAGATTCAGGGACCAGGAGCTGAGACTCAGAAACAGATTGACAGGATTCAGAAACTGTTGAGACCTAGAGGAGCAGAACCCGGAGGAAGTGAGGCTGAGACCCGTGGAGAATTCCATGATTGCAGTGCCTTATCTTGCATAACAGCTCTCCACATTATAGACTCAAACCTGCCAGCCTTTTCCTTAAAATTCTAGAGCAGTCCTTTCCACCCAGGGTTTTTGTTGTTGTTGTTGTTTTGTTTAGATAGGGTCTCTGTGTGTAGCCCTGACTGTCCTGGAATTCAAATGTAGACCAGGCTGACTCCAACTCACAGATATCTGCTGCACCTCAAGTGCTGGGGTTGGCCACTACACCTGGCTAATAATATTCTATATCACAGGAGTCCCTCTTTATCTCTGTTCCACACCCATGGTTTCAGTTACCTGTGGTCAACCCTGGTCTCCACATAGAAATAGAAAATTCCACAAATAAGCAATTAATAATTTCTGAACCTTTTTGCAGCATATTGTTCTAATTGTTCTACTTTATTGCTGCTATTGTCAATTCCCTGCTCTTTTATAAATTACACTTTGCTGTAGGTGTGTGTGTGTGTGTGTGTGTGTGTGTGTGTGTGTGTGTAGAGAGAGAGAGGGGGGGTGACCAGTACAATCCTCCATTTAAAGCACCCATGAAGTGTCTTGAAATGCAACCCTCTGGGTAAGGAAGGGAGCCTACTAGGTTTTGTTCTAAAAATTTTTTGGTTTGTTCTTTAGTGTTATTTCCATAGTCCATTTGAGTATTTGTTTCTCTGTATGTGTGGGAAAGCAATTTCAGCTTAATTCTTCTCCAAGTAGGTACCAATAGTAACATCAAATATTGACACCCCCCCTCATTCTCCACCCCTTGACCTCTCATGTGAAAGACCGTACCCATCATGGAGCCCAAGATGCTCCTGTATTACTACTGTGCTCTGTGGAAGAGCTTGTCTATCCCCCTGCCAGTCCTACAGTGTTTCAAACACTGTAGCTTTATTGTGGATTTTGATACCAAATAGAGCAAATTCTTCTTTTTCAAAATGTTCTTGGCTGGGCTTGTTCACTTTCTATTCCAGATGAACTCCAGAACCAGCGGTCATGAAAAGTTCAGAACACATCAAATACCTTCTTTCTAAATGTTCCTCCTTTTCCAGTTACTGATCTGATTCTTTTCCTCCCCACCCCCATTTCCTCTGTGCAGCACAACTGGGCATCAGCAAGTCTTCCCATCACTCTGAGAACTGGATGCTGATAACTTCCATTTGATAAATAAAGTTAGAACCACAAAAAGAGGCTATTCTTGGGGTCAGGAGTAGGAAGCACAACAATCTGATTAGATATAATCATTTTTAAAATATTTATTTTACTGTTAATTCTGTGTATGTGTGTGAGCATGTGCACATGCGTGTTGGTGCCTGCTGCGACCAGAGGTACTGGTTTGCCTGGATATGCAGTTATAGGCAGTTGTGAGCGGCCTAACGTGGGTGCTGGGAATTGAACTAAGGCCCTTTGGAAGAGCAGCAGGCAGTCTTAACCACTGAACCATCTCTCCGACCCCTATAATCTTTTTTTCTTACAGAAAAAAAAAAAGAATAGCCTGGCATGGAGGTACTGTCTTTAACAGGACACTCTAGAGGCAGAGGTAGGCAGGCCTCTGTCAGTTCAGGGCCATCCTGGTCTAAATGGCAAGTTCCAGGCCAGCCAGGGTTATATAGTGAGATGCTGTCTTAAAGAAAAGGAGGAGCTATTGACTAGAGGTAGCCAACACCCCAGTCCTCAAGGCCCTCTGCCTCCCATTGCCAGTGAACACCTGACATGCAGTCAACTCAACAGGCACCTGCAAGCTCTGATGGGGCCACCTCCAGTACTGACAGAACTGGGTTTCAGGAGACCCATGCTCTAGCCAAGGACATTTCCCAAGGCAAAGCCTGCTCTGTGAGGCATCTGCTAAAAGTGAATGAGCCTCTCCTGGCAGCAGCTGGCCTGGCCACATGCTTTCTTACAGGATGGCGTGCCAATGTTCCACTCCCATTAAGTGAAACAGTGGATAGCTTCATGGATTTTCAGACCTTTCTTCTTTTTGTCAGCAGGAAGTTTTGCATGCACTCTCAGTTATTATGCAGGGTGTTTGCAGTGTCAGGGCAGGCCTCTGCTTCCTGCTTGATTTCTCTCTTTTACCTGAGTCATGCTAGACTGCTGGCTATGGACATGGTCATCCTAATTCTGGATTTTCTGAGACAGCCCAGATTTCAAAAATTCTGAACTTTAGCCTGAAGCTGTTAAAAAATACTTGGAATTCTAAGGTTTCCATGCCCAGCTAGCCCCTCCCATATTGCATTAACGCTGGGAAATAACCCAAAACAATTTTGTAAGATGATGTGGCCTTAAAGTTGGTTTGGTTCTGGAAAAGAAATCTTGTTATAAAACATTCCTAAACCATGACAAACACATCCCTCGACTGTTTCTAACTAATCACTCCAAATCTTATATTTAGCCAAAGGAATTCTTTATTTGGATGACTGTGTATTCCTTTTTATACATCATGCCTGTTTAAAAAAAAAAAAAAAAAAAAATATAATTAAAACCTATTTAAAAAAAAGGAGATGGGGGGGGGGGAAAAAAGGGGGGGGAGGGGAGAGACAGAGAGAGAGAGAGACAGAGACAGAGACAAAGAGAATCATTCACAGCACACAAGGTGGCCCAGTGGGGACATTCCAGTCATTGCTGGGACCTATGGAGCTGTCCACAAGGGAGGTGCTGACAATTTGCTGGAGTTGTACAGGGGCTGCCCTCCAGGGTCCTGAACAGGTCCCTTCCACACCCCTAGCATCATCTTATGCAAAAAATGTAAAGTACCATGAAGCGCTGGGTGGTGGTGGCTCACGCCTTTAATCCCAGCACTCGGGAACAGAGGCAGGCAGATCTCTGTGAGTTCGAGACCAGCCTGGTCTACAAGAGCTAGTTCCAGGACAGCCTCCAAAGCCACAGGGAAACCCTGTCTCGAAAAACCAAAAAAAAAGTAAAGTACCATGAGAATCTACATCAACTTGCAGTAACCCCCTTATGCAGCAGATAGGCCTCCAGAGTTCTCTGAATCTTTTCCACACCATCCAAATCCCACATAAGGTGAGTCCACATGGGGTTTCTCTAAACACTCTGCAATGCATGCTATAGATGCTTCTAGAGGGTCTAGCGGTCCCTATAGATGTTCATTCTGGTGAATCTAGTAGGAAAACAGGAACAGCTGCTCGAAGATGTAGGGGATGTGTTCCAAATCTCTCTCCACTTCCTGATGACCCCTTTGTTTTTCTAGTTCCATGTCAAGTCTGAAGACCTGAGAGCCCACTTTTCTTTTCTCCTTACTCACAGATGTCTAGGGGAGACAAGGTTATTTTTAGAGAGGGGGGACAATTGATTGACTTAGACACTTGTGACAGGGTGACTCTAACAAGTTATTCTTCCTTCTAGGCTTGATATCCCATAAGCAAGGCAAGAAACGCTAAGGACTCAGAGCCCTGCCTTCCTGTCCTCAGCCTTCTTTCCTTATCCCCTCAGCGCCATGCCTCCCCTCAGACCTATACCTCCCATCAGGCCAGCAACAGCCTGTAACTCAGGGTCTCCAGCACCGAGGACTCCATGTGTGAATGCTGCAATGGAGACTAGGGATGGAACCACTGTAAGAACTGAGGCATTGAATGAACCTCAAGACCTTGGCTATGAGAAACTTGGGATGTGCAAAAGTAACAAAAGCAGATAGACCACAAATGTTGTGGGAAATTCAAGAGCATTGATTTCCCCTCTCTTTATGATTTTTTTATTTTTATAAAAGCATTATAGAGCTATTATAAGTATTTGAACAATATTAAAGCACATAAAGAGAAAAAATCTTGTATCTTCAATATAACAACACCCCCAAATAACCATAGCAACAACCATAACATTGTTGCAGGTGACTTCCTTTATGCGCACAGACAAGCAGGTAGGTGACCAAGAAAGCAAAAGCAGATAGTGCGTCATGGACAGATGGATGGGTAGATACATTGATGAATAGATGAATGAATTGGTGGATGAGTGGAAGAGATCATAAAGAGGTCATACTTCAATGTTTTTTTATTCTTATTTGATATACATTGGTGTTGCCATGATTGCTGGGTCCCCTGTAACTGGAGCTACAGACAGTTGTGAGCTGCTATGCTGTTGCTGAGAATTGAACCCAGGTCCTCTGAAAGAGCACTTACTGTTTTTTTATATGAGGTAAAATCAATCAATCTTCGATTTAACAGATTAAAAACACTAAGGTAATGGAATTCCTAGATTTTATTTCTTTTCCATGATAGCTGTTTCTTAGCCAGATACCATAATGTACACCTGTGATCCCAACACTTAGGGGGCTTAAGCAGAAGAATTGGAAGTTTGCAACTAGCTTGGGCTACATGGTGAGAACTTGCCTCAAAATAAAACAAGAGGAAAATATCTTTAAAGTATTATTTAAAGACTAAAGACCCTTTTTATCTTATTATAATTCAGTTTTAGGCATGGTCAATCAGGAAACCCCTCTTATACTGCCTCCCATCTCCCCTCCCCCATTTCCCAAATGCCATGTCTAATGCATTTCTTTCCTATTTTTATCTCTTTATGTGAGTCACTTCAAGGGCATGCGATTGGGATTAAATGGTACCTATAACAAAAATGTGACGGCGTAGATATGCAGTAAACACCAAAGAATACCAATAAAAAGACCATCTTAAAATGTCACTTGGTTACATAAACATAATAATTAATTCAACTATTTATACGGATCACTGACCCAGTGTGCCTAATTACTCTGAGTCACAAGGATGATTACGTAGGATTATCTTCAAGTATCAGGGTTTTGTTTTCTTTTATTTTAATGAAATTAAGTGAGCAGACAACCTGGGTAATCTCAAAAGGTCACACAGTATGACGACATTTGAAATCAATCTCCCCATAGATCCCCTTGGGGAATCCCCATTGGACATGAGGGCAGACTGACCGAGCACTGTGCTAACCATACTGAGAACTCCCTGACCATCCATCAAACACATAGTTGAGAACCTTACACACAGTGACCCCTTTAATCACTCAGCATTCTGATGAGAAACTAGATCCCTAATTTTAAGCATGAGGAAACAGATAGTGGCCAAGGACTGATCAAGTTCTCAGAGCTAGTGAAGTCTCAACTTCAGAACTTCACAGTGAGTAACAGAGACGGAAACCATTTGTTTGGTGGTGGAGGAGGGTTGTTTTAGGTGGGAGAGATGTATTATTTCTGTGGGAGCATGTATCTCTCTGTGTGTGCACATGTGTGTGCATGGCTAGAACTAACATTAGTTGGTTTGTTTTTGTTTGAGACAGGGCCTTTCCATGAACATGAAATCCACAGATTCTGCTAACCTGACTTAAGGATTCACCTCTCTCCACCTCCCCTATGCTGGGATCACAAGACATAAGCCACTGCCCCCAGCTGTAAAAAAATGGGTGCCGGGGAGCTGAACTCAGGACTTCGTGCTTGTGGGACAAGCATTTACCCAGTCTCCAGCCTCAAGAGCTGGAATTTCCACATTACTTTCCTTGGCTGCAATAACTTGCTGGCTGTGTGGCCTTGAGTTAAACACTCATCCTCTCTGGGCCATAGTGCCCTCCGAAAACAAGGGACTAATAAGGGCTTCCTTGCTGTCATCAGGACTTAACTGAGTATGCCTGGGAAAGAGCTTTGTAAATAGTGTCATTGTCTCCTTCCCTCCAGAGCTCTCAGGGTAGAGCCTGCAGCCTCAGTTGGAACTCAGTCAGGAATCAACCCCCGTTGATGAGAAAAACACCACCAGAAGTCACAAAAAAACAAAACAGTTTTCTTGCCAGAAGACAGAAGGGGAGAACGGCTGTTCCGATGGCCGTGAACCTTCACCAAGTTCAGGTTCAGAGTGAAGTCTACCCCAATACTATTTGTTCACACCATTTATTCTCAAAACTATTATTTGACAGCAGAAGTCATTTCCTCCAGACACTATCAAGAGGGCCCCTGGCTATCATCTGCATTCCTTTAGTCAAGATTTCTTCTGCTGGAGCAGACAATTCTAGGCAAAGTTGAGCCGACCTGCTTCTATGGATATGACACCTGAAAGGCCAAGGCCAGAGAAGGTTCGCTGGAAGCCTGAAGAGGGAGGCAGCAGGCCAGTACTAAGAAAGCACAAAGGCCTGAAGACAGAGACATTTATTTCTGGCCCCAACTCAAAGCCAAGACCTTGGACGAGTCCTCTGTCCTCTAGGCAGAGGAGTGGCTTGTTTTCCCATCTACAACACACAGGCTTCCTGGATCCTCTCCCAAGGCCTTGCTAACTCTTCCTCATGCTATTCTGGGAGAGGTACAGTGTTGACATGATAGTTGTGATTTATCTGAGAGAGTTTTCAGAGAAAGGAATCCAACAAGAACCTAGAGACTACAGACTAGGACAAATGGGAATATTAGAAGCCCTGGCCAAAAGGGCAGAGAGACAGAGCTAGAGTGATTGGTTTATAGGGCAAAGTGAGGAAGATGGCTCTGGGATTCAGATACAAGACACACCAAGAAGCGAAGGGAAGAGAAGTTGTCTGAACCCAGGCTCAGCAAGCCAGTGTCTCCCCTGATGCATACAATCTAGGAGCAAAATACAGAAGCCTGTTGTCTCCAAGCAAAGGGAAGGGAATTAGTAAGGCTGTAACAGGGGCCATTGTATTGATGGATTGATTGATGGATCAATTGATTGATGATTGATTTGGGGGGGGTGCATGTTCACATGTATGCAAGTACCTGTGGAGGCTGGTGGGTGATATTGAGTTACCTTCCTCAGGCCCTCAATTGCTTCCCATCTTTTTTTGAGACAGACTGTATTATTTGCTTTTCTGGTGCTGTGATAACCAAAAGCAACTAAGAGGAGGAAAGGGTCTAGTTTAGCTCCCAGTTACAGAGAGACAGAATCTCATAGCAGAAAAGGCATGGCAAATGTATCAGGAAGCCGGCTGATCACATTTTCATCTACACAAAAGGAAGTGGGGTAAGACAATAAATTTATCAAGCCCTGCCCCCCAGGGACATACTTCCTCCAACAAGGTACCACCTCAAAAAGATTCCATAATCTCCCCAAACAGCACCACCAACTGGGGACCAAGTTTTCAAATAAATGAGACTATATGGGACATTTCTCCTTTAAACCATCACATAGGCTGTCTCACTGAACCTAGAGCTCACTGATCCAGCTAGTCTGGCTAGTTAGCAAGTCTCAGTACTGGCATTACAGATGAACACCACTATGCTGGGCTTTTTCCATGGATGCCAGGGATTCAAGCCCAGGTCCTCATGTTTGTACACCAAGCACTTTACTGAGTGAAGCATCTTCCCAGCCCAAAGGGCCATTTTTGATTCTTGGCTGGGATGGTATGGCAAAAGGTGTGTAAGGGGTATGTTTCATCCTGAGTCTAGAGGTTTGAAAAAGTAGACTAGACAGAAGAGGGACCATTAAATACATTTCAGAGGTTTGGAAAGGATTAAGAGCGCCCAAAGTTCTGAAAATCATGTTTCTCACGTTTCCACATCTCTAAGATGAAGCCTGGGCCTCTAAAGATCTTTCTCTCGCCCATAAGCAAAACCAAGGATCATTTCACCCTCCCAGCACCCAAGTCCTCCCACCTTTCAGGAGTAGTCAAGACTCCCAGCTTGGTTCCATACTATTCTCAAGCCTCAGGGAGGAGCTGTCTCTGAGAGCCTGGGAGCCCACAGGTGAGGCCCAGCAGGAGGAGAAAAGAGACCTCCTGCTGTTAGCTCTCAGAGTCTTGGGCTGACTTCCCAAGCTGGCTTCCTGTACTTTGCTGCAGTTCTAACATGTAGCCCCAAAAGACAGACAGAAGAAAGCTCATTTTGGGGTTTCTCCTTAATCCAGGAATGATGCCCACCATGTCATTGGGTCCATTTGTTACCAGAATTGTTGGGGTCGAGCCTGGACTGGCTACCCTAACAAGCTAGGATCAACTATCTGTCCTCAACAGGCCAATTGTACAGACAAATAGCATTGAAAAGCAGAGGAGGGAAACACATTTGACAAAACTGCAATTGGGAAGATAGGTGATAAGGCGGCTCAGTGACCAACCTTGTCCATCATCAGAGTTTTAATAAATGGCTATGGATATTGTAACTAAGGAATCCAGGCTATCCTGCTGACAAGAAGTCACCCTCTGGTGACATCTTTTCCTGGCTGGCACCAGAAGTCAGCCTTTCCTTTCTCCAGCATGAGATTCCTGGGGAAATTCCAATTCCTGAAGTCCATTGTTAAAGTAGTATGATAGCCAAAGCAAGAGGCACACACCTGTAATCTCAGTACTTAGCAGATAGAGAAAGGGAACTCCAAAGTTCAAGGTTATCCTCAGCTACAGAGCAAGTTTGAGGCCAGCCTGGGCCACTTAAGACAACATAACAAAGTAAATATGAGCTGGCTTACCTCATTTTGATCTTAAAGAATTACCTTCTGTGAATGACACTGGCAGGCAGTTTTATCAAGAGCCATGTTTAGACTTAGGGATGAGCAAGCAAAGCTAGTACTGTAAAACTCACCCTGGCCCTCAGTCAGCACAGCTCGTTTGTTATCTGTAACATCCTTGTTTGACAGCCCTCTAGGAAAACATGAATCTTGCAGGGACTCTTGGCTGCATTATTTGTGTTGAAGTTTCTCAACCCTCTGGCACCACAGGAAAGGCAAATCAGAAGTCCCAGTGAAGACTCTCATGCCCCCTTAGTTTCTTGCCTTCCTATCCTGCCACCATTGAACAGGAACTTCCTTCCACAATCCCATCTCCTAGATGGCGGCTATTCTCCAGGTCCCCTCTTTTTATTCTTTACATCTGCTTGTGGTAAAATGCATACATACAGCATGGCATTTATCATTGTAGAGCTGGTGAGATGGTTCCTCAAGTAAAGACTCCAGCCGCCAAGCCTGATGGCTGAGTTCAATCCCAGGGCCCATATGATGGAAGGAGACTATCGCCTCCATAAAGTGGTCCCCTGAAGGACACCACAACTGCATAAGCATATCCCAACACACAGGCAAACAATAAATAATAAACAATGGAGGTTTGTTGGTTTTGTTTTTTAAGGCACGTCCTAGGACAGTTAAGGGTACAACAGAGAAACCCTGTCTCAAAAAGAAGTAAAACAACAACAACAAAACTACTGTAGCCATTTTTTTAATTTTTATTGATTTTTTTGTGAATTTCACATAATACACCCCAATCCCATTCATCTCCATATCCCCCCTCCATCCTTGCTATCTGCCCCCAAAAGAAATAAAAAATAAATAAAAATAAAAACAAATCAAAAACTAAAAAAGAAAAACAAGCAAGCAAACAAAAACCTCATTTCACTGTGGAGGAGTAGCCATTTTTAAAAAGCACAATCTAATAGAATTAAGTATACTCATCTTTTCATTCATCATCTCTCCTTTCTGAAATTGCCTACAAGTCTTAAAGTGACAGGATCACCTTTTTTATTAGACAGATTCCAGGAATTTGACTCCTCTTTGCTCCTGCACAGAGCTGTGTGGAGCTGAAGAGCAGGAGGTTCATGCTTGGCCTCAAATGCACCCCACTAATGGCCATTATAAATCACCCACACATTTGCTGACTCAGCTAAGAGCCTTGGGCCCAGCAGTGGCAAGGGCTTTCTTCCTGGGGACCTGCCCAGCTAAGGGCCAGAGCTTCAGGGGAGTACAACATAACACATGTTAGACGCTCCAAGTCAGATGGGGGCGCTAGAGGACTGTGACTTCCCTGGTGGTTGTCATCTACCTGTGTGGCCCCTGCTTCCACCTCAGAAGAAGCAAGTTATGTAATGCCTGGCTCCTCACCTGTGAAATTCAAATAATATGCACCTCACAAAGTTTCCAAAATATCATATGCCTGTGTTATTTTCTTCACAGTCAGATGTATACTAGATACTTTTTTGTTAAGTTCAATCAATGTTTCAGATGTATTCTATTCTACAGCATTCAGTATTTCATCATACATCCACCTTTCTACCATGAAATAATTCAACTGACAAAAGTGTAGATATTTACAATATAGCATGACGTTTGATCTGAGGGTGTATTTGTAGGATAGCTACATCAAAGCAATTTACATATCCATACTTTACATATTTACCTTTCTGTTCAAATGTGAAAGCTATCTTAGCAATTTGCAAGAATATGTCCTGTTAGCTATAATCACTATGGTATACACTAGGTCTCTTGAACTTCATGTCTATCTGGAGAAAAACATTTTTTTTTTTTTTTGCAACAGATTCTCACTGTGTAGCTCTGGCTGGCCAGAAATTCTCTATGGACTATAGTCTGACTTGAACTCATAGAGATCCACTTGCCTCTTCCTCCAAAGTGCTGGGATGAAAAGCGTGTGCCATCGCACCCCACGGTAACTGAACTCACATCGTTTGACCTGCATCTGTCTGTCCTAACCATGGCAAGCACTTAAGCAGTGGAGAGGTAGTACTCAAGGTTTTGTCGAGGTGACAGGTTTCCCTATACTTTGCAAGCCTCCAAGCATAACTGATGGGGTCTGAACAATAATTCCAGGTTCTCTGGCTCACACTCCCCCTTCACATGGCAAGCTGTCACTCGAGTGGTAGGGATCCCAAGGACCGTCTTTGCTGGTAGTGGACACATGTGTCTCTATGGCTCTCTAGTTTCTGAGGTTGGTCCTCCCTGTCAGCCCCACCACTGGCACATGAGACACTGATGAAGTCATGCAGGCTCTGTCCCTGTGTGTCACACCCAGCAATGCTCAGGGGATGTGGCTGTTGTGTCAATGTTTTACATTCTTTATAAACAAGCTTCATCTTGTCCTTCAAACTTCTTGAAGCACGGGACAAGCCTAGCAAGTCTCTTGACTCACCTTGGAGCTGCTGAGGCTGTAGCTCCATTGGTGGAGTTTTTGCCTACATGTGCAAGGCCCTGGGTTCTATTCACAGCATGGCATAAATCAGGAATGGTGGTGCAACTTTGAAAGCCCAGCATTCAGGAGGATGCAGGAGAATCAGAGTTTGAGAATATCCTTGGCTATATAAGCAATCTCAAGGCCAGCGTGGTTCCCATGAGACCTTAACAACAACAAAAAGTTGTTTAAAGGTATAGACTGTGAAATGTGTTTTTTACTGGTTCCATTCTCTCCTGGGAGAAGTACCATCCCTTAACAGCTATTCACAAGTGCATCTGGAAAACCTGGCCTTGGGAACTACCAACTATGTCAAGGTAGCTAAGTCTATCCTAGAACTAGGGTACATCTGGGCTAAGCAGAGACTGGTCATCACTATCCTACTACGCTTGATTATGTCCCAAACATAATCTCCCAGCCATATTCCCTGTATTAGTTGTTTATTGCTGCATAATGATTTCTTCTAAACTCAGTAGCTTAAAACAACACATGGCTATTATGGAGTTGGGAATGAGGAATGGCTTAGCAGGGTTGGCTAGCCCATGGTCTCTCTGGAGATTATTGTCAAGGGTTAGACTAGGTTAGAATCATCAGAGGTTTGTTTGGATCAGGAGCACCTATCTCAATATCATTCACATGACTTCTGATGACATGGCTTCCCACAAAGCAAATCATCCAAGGTGGAAAGAATGACCAAGACCAAAATAGGTGTTTTCCATCACCTGATCTTGGAAGCCACATACCTCCACTGCAGTCATATTTTAGCCATCACATAAGCCCCCTCTACCAGGAGAGAGGCAGGTATCCACAGGGTGTGGAAAAGGGAGTGGAGATGACAGGAAGCACCTTGGACGGTGGCCACCACACACTTCCTACCTTCTCTCTACCTCCAGCCCCCAGTCTTGCTTGAGAGGAGTCCACCTTTCCCCCGTTGTCCAATAAGGGACTTTAAAGGTCTCAAGACTGGAACTAAGCACCACCAGTATAGCCCAAGAACCCAGGGATGTGTGCTTGAAGGACGATAACCAGGTTTAAAAAAAAAAAGTGGAGAGAGCTAGGGGAGATAGCTCAGTGAATAGAACACATGCCACACATACATGAGGACAGGGTGTGGGTCCCCAACATCCACATAAAGTCAGGCAGGCAGAGACAGAATCCCCAGGGAAAGTTGCAAAACTAGTCAGAATCAGAACCTCCTGGTTCTATGAGAGACTCTACCTCAATATATAAGGCGGAGATCAACTGAGGAAGAAACTTGATTTCAGTTTGGGGCCCCTATGTGCACCTACACATGCACTTACAAAAGGAAAAAAGAGGGAGGGATGGAGGGAGGGAGGGGAGAAATGGAGGGAAAAGGGAAGGAGGGAGGGAGGGATTCACTAGAGGGCACAGAACTTTTAAGAAAGGAAACCAGCATGACTGTGGGAATAGACAGGAGACCCAAATCTGAAGTGGTCTAGTGTGGCTAAAATAGGAGCTTTAGGACAGCAGGAGGGTATTTCCCTCATGCTCCCTGTTCACACTAAGGGTCTGTTCCACTTTTCATGGAGAGAGCAGCCGCCATCTTGAACACCACCACACCACTGGCAGAAAGAGAGCCCCGTGGAAGGCCCTGCACTAGCGATGAAATGCTCTAGCCCAGAAATGATGTATGTCCCTCCCATGCACAATCCATTGGCCATAAATTGTCACTCTATCTCCAGCCAGCCACAGGGAGCCAAGAAGTGCAATCCTATCACGTGCCTGGAAGAGGCGAAAGCTGGAACTATTTGGCAAACAGAACCCATGATTCTTTAGCCTAAGAGTAGCAAACTGCAGAGAGGTAGAGGAGAGACTAAAGCTGGAGCCCAAGATTTAAACCCTGGGTAGGAGGAGAGTTTTGCAAGGCTGTGCTAAATAAATAAACAAACAAACAAACATTAAAACTCTGGCAGTTATTCCTCCCCCAGTCATTATCTACAGCCTCCTCACATACCAGCCCAAAGAATCCAGAACACTTGGGTCCTCTGCCTAAGTTTGGGCCCTCTCTCACCTTCCCTCACTCCTTATACTGCACCCCACCCTCACCTGGACACAGGAAAAATCCATGGACTTGAGATCACATGCCCATTCAATTTCATCTGCTAAAACATCAGCCATCCCCTGGGACACTTAAAGACTTCCCCCCTACCCATTTCATAGGGATGGATAAACCTATAGCCCAAACCTGGCCACTGACCATGGTTCTTAGTTTAGGCCCAGCTGACCCCAGTTCTCTTCCTCTTGACCAGAAGCTCAACTCCTAGTAATCTCAAGTGTTTCCACACACTATCTGGCCCAGCCTCTCTCATCCAGGCCAAAGCTTCCTTCTCCCCAGAAGACCCTCCACAGAGTAACCTGTGGGTGGCTGTGACATGGTGCATTGTAATCTCAATCTTGCCTTGCTGTAGACCTCATAGGACCACGCACTTTTGCTCATCTTTTCATGTGTCCTAACTGCTTTGGTTAGAACATGTTTATTATTGTCCAGGCCTAAGGACTTATTGCTCACTCACAGACTAGTAAATGTCCATTGTCCGTCAGGAGAGCCAACATCATCTAACCCCAACCTTCCATTATCCATCCTCTAAGACAGTGTGACCCAAGTCACACAGCTAGTGACATGTGCAAGATTCAAACTCCAAATCAGTCAGATTAGAGATGCTGTGGCCTTGGCTTCAGATGGCATCATGGGAGATGGCAAGAGAAGAGTCAGCCTAAACCAGGTACTGTGGTGCATAGCTCAGGCCTCAGCATCTGGTTTTGCTCAGTGAAAGCTGAACAGAAAGGCTGGACATACAAGTTGTTTCAAAGAGCAAGACAAAGGCCATTCTGGGACTTGCAGAACTGTGCACCTAGGCTACACCAGACCCTCAATGTCTGCCGGTAGACATCCAGCTCTTGTTTCCCTTTTCGGAACCGTTCAGCTTTGAGTCTGCCCTGTGATCCTTCTCCTTTGGAAGCTGCCAGATCAAGCCCACTGCCTCCTTGCAACAACACTTCAAACCAGCTGCTCTTGGGAACTCCTAGACTCTTCTGTCCATCTCTAAACAGTGAACCTGGGGAAGTGCATCCTATTTTCAGTGTTTGTGGCTGTGAGAAGCCATGACCAGGGCACACACGGTG